GTGAGGACGGGGCGGGGAGTCACGGCTCCCACAGTGGGCTCAGCACCCCGACCGTGAGGATGGCACAGGACCAGGCAGTGTTTGTTCTGCTGTACATGATGTCGTCAGGAGTCAGAGCTGACTCAGTGGCAACTGACAGTAACATAAACGCGGGAACTGAGGCACAGAGATTACAGGTTAAGGAGTGTGCTCAAGTCTACAGGTAGCATGTGGCAGAGTCAGGGTTTAAACCTAGCAGGTGGCCCAGAATCTGTGTTCTTAACATCTACGCCACACTCACATGCTTACAAAAATGTAGGAATAATTACTGTCTTTTCATAGGCAAGAGTTTGCTAATTAGCACACTAAAGTGAAGTTTTGTTTTGACCTAATTCTCCAATATAAAATGTGGGAAATTAAAGAATATACAGAGCCTGCAAACTCGTTTACTTTACTGAGTATGTCTAAGCAAAGAACATGCTTTCTATGTGTAAACAAGTCAAATCCATGAACTGCTGTCAAAACTAGTTGCTGGCCTCTACTTACAACATCTATCCATTCTCTACCATGAAAGATAACGCAATGTTGCTTTGTGAAGACTTCTTTGTTTTTAGGGAACAGGAATGAAGTTGAGGTTGGAACATATCCTTGGAGTTAGCTGAGAAAGAAATCTGAGAAGAGCCTGGTGTGACTTGGTTCCTAAATTTCTCATAGTTATCCATGAAATTAAAATTAGGTATAGGTCTAGATTTTCATGGTCATCAGGTTGGTCAGTGAGTTCCAAAGAGTTCACATACTCTTCCTTCTACTCCTTTTAAAATTTCACCTTCTGAAGTCTCTGAGATATACAACTGTTGATTAGATTCCACACTCATTATTTGAGTAGAAAGTTTTAAGACTGACTTAGGAAAGGGCAGGAAACATGGCCATTGTGGATAAAGGCATTACAAAGTCTGCAAATGAAACCAAATTTCTAAGACTTGATGATTCTGGTAAACTATTGTAACTCTGGAAAGAAAGCAATACTTCTTTGTCATGTGAATTCTTGTAGTTTTGAGTTTTCTTTTTCTTTCTTTAACTCAGAGTTCCATCCAAATGCTGCAGCATGAAATAACTAGTAAGAAACATGTTTTAATAATGGTAGCAGACAACTGAGATTTAAATGGTCAAGATACATATATAAAAGGGATATTTAAAACATAATGTTTATTAAGACTTCTTGAAAAACAAAATTATTTTACTTTAAGTGACTCCATTTCAATAAATGAAAGGAATGGTCCATGGTAAAGCAAAAGTAACATTTCCAAGAACATGATTTTATCATCATAGTTGCTTATGATTTTTCAGCCTTCAACGCCTGTCTTTACCATCATAACCAGCACAGGGTTATTCAAAATGAAGTTTTAACCCAAACTGGACGATGGAGATGCAAAAACTGGAGTAAGATAGACTCAAAACAAGCAAACTAACACCAATAACTAAAAAAAAAAAAAGTGTCTATCTTTCTTTATATATATCATATTTACAAAATTAAAATTAAACTAAGTGGTTATTATATACTCGCATTAGTGAATATTAGTATTTTACACTTCCATATATATGTGCATATATAATATACAAGTAAAAAGGTGAATTTTAAATTATTTTCATCTATGAAAAATATATAAAATATGACTTACACATACTTGAGTGCTTATTCAATATTCAGTGCTTAAGAATATTTGGGAAAAAATCCCCAAATACACTCTGGTGGAAGATATTAATAGTGTAAAAGATACAGAAATAGGGTTTAATGTGTTTAAACAAAGAGGAGGAGGGAGTACGGGGAAAGAAGGTATACTTCTAGGCTAGAATCACATAATATAAACCAAATGAATCATCAGAAATGAAGGAGGTACAGTTTTTCCCAAGGTCCATTTCACTAGAAATTGAAAAGAACCAAGAAAGCTTTTAAAATAAACAATGCCAGTTGCAGTGCAGTCCAGTTCTGACTCATGGCAACCCCATGGATGGCAGAATAGAATTGTGCTTCTTAGGGTTTTCAAAAGCTGATTCTTCAGAAGCAGATTGCCAGGTCTTTCTTCCAAGGTGTCTCTGGGTGGACTCAAACCTCTAACCTTTCACTTAGCAGCCCAGGGCTTTGTTTAGACCACCCAAGGGATTCCAAGGAAGCTTTAGGGCAGAGTACATGAATTTAAGTTTTGCTAGAGTTCACACTATTACGGGATGCAGAACTGACTTCCTCCTGAGTTGTCTTTAGATTTGGACACACACCTTTCCGATAGTAGGTCAAAACGTCAGTTCCTTACATGGCTTCCATTAAAAGAGCAAGAGTACATAATGTGTCATTTAAATACCTCATACCACTTAAGAAGGAGTTTGTCCTTCCTGAAGAAACACTGACAGCTTTGGCTTCTTCTCAGGCACAACTGTGTTGGAATCCTGACCCCCTCTTTCTCAAGACTGAGGTCAGAAGCCGGCCGAGAGACCTCCCTCTGGCTCTCTCCCACTTTTGCTTCCAGCCTGTTCCCAGGGCTGGGCTGGCTCTGGCTGGTACTAGTTGAGGCAAGGGCAGCAGCAGCAGCAGAGGGTCCGGCATGCATTCTTCTTCTTGTACTGCACAGCCTTGCGCACCTGGGCCTTGGCCTCGCCCATGTAGTCTCTGGTCTTGAGCACATTGAGCTCGATGACGTTCAGCGTGTCGGCCTGCTCCTCTCCCAGCAAGGCCATCTGCAGGAAAAGGTCGTGCAATTCCCGCACTCGGTTCTCTAGCCGCAGCAGCTCGCGATGGCGGTTCTCGATCTCATGGAGGGCCGCCCGTGAGCCCTTCGCGTCGGCCAACAAGTTCTCAGAGAAGACGTCCCACTTACCCTGCTCAAACATATCCTCTATCTGGTTGCCCGAGACGTCCTTGCCCATGATCTCGAGCTGGCGCTGGATGCGGGTCTTGCAGTTGGCACGCTGCTTCATTTCAGCCTGGTTGTACTCGAGCATGGTGAGCTGGAAGGTACGGGTGAGTGCGCTGTACTGTGCACCCGCGGTGCGCGCCACAGCCGAGTGCTCGCCGTACTGGGCTTTGGCCTCCTCGGCCCGTGCCTTCAAGTTGCGCAGCTTGCCTTGGATGGCCTCTCCTCGAGCTTTGATGTCCTTTGCAATGGAGTTGGTGTCACGCTTGATGCTGCTCAGGCGCCGCATGGACGTGAGGAAGCGGGCATTCTGCCTCCCCAGCCGCTTCACGTCAGCTGTAAGGAGCTGGTTTTCATGCTGAAGCTCCTGGATGTCTCGGTACAAGGACTTCAGGATGTCGTCTGTCTCGAACACGATGTCCTCGTGGGCTGAGTCCAATGCGTCCTCCCCATCTGGGAACTGCTGGTCGTAGCGCTTGGAATACTCCAGAAGTTCTGCTAGCCGGTCCTTCATTTTGCCTGCAAGTGGAAATATGGAGGTTAGGTTCCTCTAGTGGGAGTCAGATATTTGCATTCAGGGGATCGGAACTTAAAATGAATGTCCTACTCAGCATTTTCAATTCTTTATCCTGGGGTAAAGTGCACTGAAGGAGCTCAAAGTCCTATGCTTTTTTGGTGACATGCAAAGGAATATGACTGGAAGGCATGAAGACAATCATATTTGAAGCCTTATAGGTACCTGCAGTTCAACACTATAGGCACCCAGAACTCAATGAACAATTTAAAATTTCAGATTGCATTGGAGAGCAATCTCTTTTTCTAGCATTAAGGTTTCCAGTAATTGTAAACCAAAACAGGGGCATAAAAAGTAAAAACAAGAGGAAAAGATGTACAAAGACAAGGATTTTTAGTAAGAGTAGTCATCTGACAAGATTTGAGGCCAACACTAAGTACTAGTTTTAGCGCAAGTAAGTACCTTCAGATGTCTTCATAATAACTTTTAAAACAATTACTGTATAAATCATAGACTGCTTTGTTATTGCCTTAATTTTTTTTTCTCTTAAAAATGTTATTTTGAATGAAATAAGTCAATCACAGAAGGACAAATATTTATCAGTCCACTGTTGTAAGAAGTCAAGGAAAAGTTTATACATGGAAGGAAACTTTCTTTCTTGGTTATCTGGGATGGGAGGGGAGGGGTGGGAATGGGAGGGAAGGGGAGGGGAGGGAAGAGAAGGGGAAGGGAAGGGAGGGGAGGGGAGGGGAGGGGAAGAGAAAAATGCTAAACACTAAAACATGCTTAAAGTAAAACAAAATAAATAAAGACAGAAATCCAATGGGGACATATGAATGTGTAAGTTGAAATTTCCTTGCAACAACAACATCATTCCCTAGTGGTAAGCACTATTATCATAACTGCTTATTTTATTTTATTGTGGTAAATATAGATAGAGAGAGAAATAAAATCTGCCACTCTATTTTAACTATACAATTCAGTGACATTAATTACAGTCACAGTGTGGTGCAACCATCATCACTATCTATTTCTGAAACTTTGTCATCACCCTGTACTGAGATACAGTACCTACCTATTAGGCAATCAGTCCCCATTCCCCTGTATCCTCAGCCCCTAATAAAATTATTAGATATATTAAAAGGGGGTCATACAATATTTTCCCTTTTGTATCTGACTTATCTTACTTAGCATGATGTTTTCAAGGTTGAGCATTATTGAAAGTTTATATCAGAACGTCATTTTTCTTTATGACTGAATAATACTCCATTGTATATATTTATTTTGTTTATTCATTCTTCTGTTGATGGCCACTAGGGCTGTTTACATCTTTTGGCTTTTGTGAATAATGCTAGGATGAACACTGGTGTGCCAGTTTGAGTTCCTGCTTTCAACTCTTTGGTATACACCTCGGAAAGAAACTGCTGGGCCATATCATAATGCCATGTTTAAGTTTTGGAGGGACTCTGTCAAGCTGTTTTCCACAGTAGGTACACCATTTTACATATCCACCAGTAATGCACAAAGGTTCCAGTTTTTCCATATCCTTGTCAAAACCTGCTGTTTAAAGCACCCCCCCATATATATAATAGCTATCTTATGATTATGAAAGGACCTCTGGTGGTGCAGTGTCAAAGGCATGTGACTGCTAATGAGAAGGCTGACAGTTCAAATCCACCAGCCGCTCTGCAGAAGGAAGACTGGGCAATCTACTTCCGTAAATATTTACCACCTCAGAAACCCAGTAGGGATCACTATGTGTCGGAATTGACTTGATGGCAGTGAGTTTGGGTTTTTTTTGGAGTGGTTATGAAGTAGTATTTCATTGTGATTTTGATTTGCATTTCCCTAATGTAACTGCATTTTTAAAAATGCACAAGGAAAATTTTAAACCAAACACAAGCTAGTAGCACTAATGCAACCAACTCTCATTTACTTGCCATGCAGCAGCAATATTTACCAATTTTTAATGTTTTTGAAACAAGTTGGCAGCTCAAGCAGAATTTTCAACTTTTTATAAAGTTATTTTGGAGACTTCCAGTAAGATAGTGAAATAGGCAGACAAGCTACAAAGACCCTCTTCAACAAGGAGAAACCAATTGACAGAAATATAGAAGATAATCCTGGAGCCCTGAGCTTTGAAAGGAAGTATACAGAAATGGAGTAGGCACCAACTAGTAGAAGAACTTGAATGAAATAGGACTTAAGAATAGGTTCCCCTTGCCAAGGACAGCAGGGAAATACAAGGCTGACAACAAAAAAGGAGATAGGTGGTGAGTGTATAAGTGCCACCAACTAGTGAATAGAGGAGCACAGCACAGTACCTTGCCTACTTAGATAACATCCAAAGAAAACAAAAATCTTGGGCAAATCACTCTAACATGTTGTTGTTGTTGTTAAGTGCCATCGAGTCGTTTCCGACTCATAGCAACCCCATGCACAGCAGAACGAAACACTGCTTGATCCCGCGCCAGCCCCACAATCCCTGCTATACTTGGGCCCA